AGTGATCATCTTTGTTTTTATTTTCTTTGTTCCAGTCTTTAATTTCAGCAGTTCTTGTTTCCTCAAATCTAAATTTCGACTGTCCAAATAATTAGGGAAAACTGTGATTCTAATACTTATTTTGTTAAATCCCCATGGGAACGATATTATTATACTACTTGATAACTRGTGCACTTGCTAGAGTTGTATATCTATAGCTATCATCTAGCATTAGAGAATTATCTATATGTGGGCTAATAACCCTTCTGACTCTAAAGAAAACTTTTGATAATGTGGGTATATCACTGCTACCTAAAATTTAGGCACATACTGTCCAAAATTCAAACCTCAACCTGGAAAGAAAACTTGCCACATCCAACTGATCTATTTGTTGTTATTGCACTGTGAGATCAATTGATGAATCCAGCTCATTGCACAAACTCTTTAAACTAGCATAATACTMCTCCACACTCCTATCACCATGTTGTAGTTGAACATATTTCTAGTATAATTGATAAATTCTAGTCACATTATCCTGTCCAAAATACAGTTGTTTGGCATGTTCCCAAATTTCTTTTGCAGTGTCAAAGAACATTAAGTTCATACTAATATGAGGTTCCACACTGTTCCAAAGACATGTCATGATTTGTGCATTCTCTTGTATCCATCCAATCATTATACCCTACAGCCCTTGGATCTGGCTTATTTTCTTTAATATATGTTAGTTTACCCCTAGCTGTCAAATTTACTTCAACTGATTTCGCCCAAGGTACATAATCTGTAACATTGAGTTTGACTGAAGTGCTATGGACTGCCATGAAATCTGGTTGTACCATCACACTTGTTTTGGTTTCACTGCCTGAAGGTGCCATAGATCATGAATAAGCTATTTCAGCAATTCACACCCAAAGGCTAACACCTTCCAAGGTCAAAAAAGCACTCAGTTGATTCTGTTACTAATCTGGGAATACCAACAACCTAGCCGCAACACCTTTAATGAGAGGAAAACACCAAGAAACTCCTAAATGCTAACCAACCTCACCACATCAATTGAAAAACAAAAAATTCAGATCACCAAGTTGTTTTGTCCCACCATTCACAGAAAATAAACAACCTACCTGCACCATCCAAAAACAGTCCCTCTTTGAAGTTCAGATTAAAGCCTTCCATTCTGACAATGCAAGAGAATATTTTGAGAAGAATCCCACCACTTATCTCTTGGAGTATGCTATTGTCCACCAAAGTTCTTATGCCTACTACACTCCATAACAAAATGAGGTGGCAGGGTGCCATAACAGGTATATTCTTTAGGTTTCTAGACAAATTATGTTTAATAGTCATGTTCCTAATCATTTCTGGGGTGATGTTATCCATACAATAGTCTATCTTATTAATAGAGTCCCATCTTATGTTCTTGGGTTTAGGACTCTATTTAGTGTTGCTCTCTAGGGATGATGCGTTTCCTATCCCTCTCTAAGTTTCTGGGTTGTACTTTTTTCATTCATATCCTCGGTCCACACAATCCCTTAAACACAATGTTGCATATAAAGGAGTGTTGCAGTAAATACTTATAATAGTTAGAGATCAATGCTCTTGAACATAATGTTGCATATAAATGGGAGAACATAGTAAATTGTATAGGTATTTTGGGTTTATTAGCCATCTTTGATGCTTTGTACAAAACTGGTCAGAAAGCAGCCACTTTGTGCCAAATATATATATGGCATTTTTTTAATTTTTATGTAGTTATGATGCTTATTCTTTAGGTTATCTATTTTTGTTTTTGTTTTTTCTTCATGGACATTTTAATGTAATAGTATTTTCTAGTACTCTCTAAAAATCAAGTGGTTAACAACATAGACTGTGATAAATACTACTCTCCTAGAAAAATGTGCAAAAGATTTAAACAATGATAAATATCTCACTTCACCAGCACTCTCCAGCTCTTCTTCTGAACAACCAGCCCAAAGTGAATGAGCCCTAAAAGCCATTTCCATGTTGGCAAGGAACTCCTGCACAGCAGCACTATCCTTCTCTGGATCAGGAGCATTGTTTGAAAACGACACAATGAAGCTGCCATGAACATATCCAAAGTTAAAACCTTGTCCATATTTGATAAATAAAGAACAAAACTTACTGTTGAAATGGTAAAAGGGCAAACTAATAATGAATGAGCAGGAATATACTAAGAACATATATAGAAAGTAGACAAAGAGGCACCTGATTCATGTAATATAACCTACATAACTACTTTGTTTTATGACACAAGAAATTAAGTTCAAAGAAAAAGAAGAAAGCAAAGAACAGAAGCTACAAAAATACCGAAGTTAGTAGCTTTTGAATAAGGGCATTTTGAACTTTAGTACCAACCTCCGATATCACAAGAGTTGTGAAATTATTGAATTACTTCCCTGCATCAGCAATGCTTTTTCCATTTTTTCTAGGATGGATGAGTGTATACAGAGTTTTGAGGCCTTCTGGAAATTCTCTTGTGGTTCCCTCTTTTGGGTCTTGTTTTCTAGACCCCTTCAATTTATTGGGAGATGATACATGAGAAAAACAATACTTGACATAAACCAAATTGGTCGATGTCACCACAAAGATGGTTATTGCAGCACCTATTTGAGATCAGTCACCATCTAATAATCAGTGTTTTAAAAGCACAAGGTGCAAAAAAGAACAAGGGGCAATTTGCGCCCAAGGCACAAGGGCAAGACAAGGCAGGCACCTTTTCAAAGCAAGGCGCAAAAGTGCAAAAGGAATAAAAAATAAAAACATTAAACATAATATTAATTAAAAATATAAACTTAAATTTAAAATAAATGTTTTAAAAAACCTATTATCTAAAGTTAAAATACATAAACATAACATGTAAAACATATTCCAATGAAAATTAAAATATAAAATCAAACATATTCAAACATATTCAAACATATTCCAATGTAAGACACCCAATCTCTTTTTTTCAAATTGCATCATTTTAAATGGTTAATGTGATGTATAACATTTTGCATTCCTCATTCTATAAGCCGCCTTTATGCCTATCCCCCCCTTGAGGCAAGCCCAAACAAGTCCATGTTAGGATATTAAATTCTAAATCCCTACACAAAAAAAGAAGTGATTTTATAATTTTAATTGCCTTTTAAGAAAATATTTTATTAGGATGAATGAATGAACAACACTAGAAAATAGGAGGTTCTCGGAACTTTGGTGAGTGAGAAATGTGAGCAAACCAGGCCCTATAGACTCATAGCTATAGGGTCTAAACACAACCGGAAAATATCATTATCAATGATTGAAAGGTGGATGGCACATTGGCCAATCAAAAAGGCATGACTAAGAACTTTACTGAGGATTTTGTGTAGATTTATCAGTTAATTTTGTTCATTATTTGTTTTGATAGGTAGTGGGGACCACAGCACACTTGTTGGGACCCTTTAGAGTGTTTTGGAGTGTCTTTTCTAAGTTCTTTATTCAGTTTTGGTGTTCAGCCGCCATATAAGGGTATACTTGTCTTTGTACATGTTTTTTACTTGTAAGTATAAATAACAATGAGAGGGGACAGCCAGATCTGATTGCTCTCTCATTCTTTTCTATATTCTTTCTCTTCTTCTTCTCTCTTCTCACAAAATCTCTTATTTTCTTCATCTTTTTCTATAGATTTTTATTTCTGCAGATTTCTACTTGATTTCAAAGCAGGATTTGAGCTTTTTTCTGTTATCCCATCATGCAGCCATAGACCAGCTGACTGCATGATGAGTTAGAGGGCTGATCAAAGAACTCAAAAGTGCCCAGTTTTTGGATTTTTTGGTGGATCTAGAACCCCTTGTAGGCTTGTAGCAGATCTAGGGTTGATCACCACAGCAGGAAGAATTGGACAAGGGGGAAGAATCCTGATTGTAGTAGGACTCTTCAATTTTGAYCTGGGAAGGGGCATTCTAGATTTTTGGAGTTCTTGGTGAATTCTGAAGGGGGCGGTTCAAGTTCTAGTGATTTCTGAGGTCTCTGGAGGGAGCAGAAGCCTTTTCTATTGTTTCTACCAGCTCCCATGGAGACAGGAATCTTGGTGGGAGGAGGTTTCTAAGTACCAAAAGGGTGGTTGAGGCCTCTAAAAGAGATAAATTCATTTTTCTCACCTATAGTTAGTTTCCTAATCTATTTTGAGAATTATGGAGGGCTAAAGCACTAAGCAAAGTTCAACCAGTGACATGGGACTGGGTAGAGGACTAGGTGGAGCAAGCTCCAGAGAATCTTTTGGACTTGGGATTATTACCACAGTTAAGTTAAATTGTACAAACTATTTAGAGTGGGAAACAATCAGCCAAGATGGCTATTGGAGCTCGTGGGAAACTGGGGTACCTTACTAGGGATGAGAAGAAACCTGAAACAAATTCCTCCGGGTGGGTATAAGAGAATTACATTGTAATGTCTTGGCTGTGTAATTCAATGTTACCACATATTGGTAAGAATTTTTTTCTTGGTAAATACAACAAAGGAGATTTGGGATGGAGTGATTGAGACCTATTCCCAAAGCAGAATGTAACCAGAGCCTATTAGTTGAGGAATCAGGTGATTATTACAAAAACAGGGAGATAGGCCTCTTGCTATGTATTTCTCCATGCCGAAAACACTTTGGCAGGAAATAGATCACTTAGAGACTGTGGTTTGGGAGAATACGAAGGATGTGGTAACTGATCAAAAGATTTCTTGGCTGGACTGAAGTACTGAACCCTGAATTTGATATTGCTAGGCAACACATCCTTTCCAGATAGAGTGTGACTCTTTCTCAAACTTATGCTTTTATGTCTGGAGAGAAGAGTAGGAAGAATTTCATGCTGAAACAGTCTAGAGTTGACCAGTTGGCTATGGTTAGTATAGTCAAACCTAAGCCAAATGGAGACAGGGAGAGTAGTGAGATCAAGAGGGAGGATATGAAGGACTTGGTGTACGACTACTGCAAGAAGCTTAAGCATACCACAGACACCTGTTGGAAGCTCTATCCACATCTCATACCAGCTCGGATCAAGAATAAGAAGGAAAATGCAAATGTGGTAGTTATTGGAGACTTTCTGGGACCTCTTGCCCAAGCCGATTTGGAGTCCATTGCAATGGCAACAGTCAAAACTGAATTGGAAAAGTTTGGACAGCTTATGAGTAGAAAGATTCGGCTAGTTCTAGTTCTTCAAGTGGTTGCACATTATGCCTCCAGTCCACCACAAGTAAGGAGGGATTTCCTGGATTATAAACTCAGGAGCATCTGAGCATATGACTAGTATGTCTACCCTTTTCAATTCTTATTAGTAGTGTTCTAGTAGAGATAAAGTCTCTACAGTAGATGGTTCACAATTGTCCTCTGTCTTACATGTTCCTAGACTTAATACTAACCTTCTTTCTATGAATAGTCTAACAAAGAATTTGAATTGCTCAGTGACATTCTTTTCCTGATAATTGTGTTTTGCAGGATCTGGAGTCAAAAAGGACGATTGGGAGTAATCGTAAGGTGAGCGGAGTCTATCTTCTAGATGAGCTTCCAAGACATCCAAGCCACCTTGTTAGCAGCAATGGTAGTGGGTTAGAGTCAATGAGAAAGATTATGCTTTAGCATAATCATTTAGGTCATCTTTCTTTCAATTCTTTGAGATGTTTGTTTCCCAAATTGTTTGAAGTCTATTCAGTCATCTAGTTTAAGTGTAAGAGTTGTCAACTGGGAAAACATTGTAAATATTCTTTTAAACCAAGTAATAAAAGAAGTTCTTCTATTGATCCGTTTTGGATACACACAGACCCGATCATATCACACTCTCTTTGTAAAGAGGAGAGAATCACTAGTGTCAATACTGATTGTATATGTGGATGATAGTTGTTACAAGAAATATTCAAAGGGARACCGATGCACTCAAGAAGTCACTACAACAAGAATTTAAGACTAAGGATCTAGGTGAACTGAAATATTTTTTGGGAATTGAGGTTGCAAGATCCAAGCATGGGATATTCATATCTCAAAGAAAGTATGTATTGGACCTACTTGCAGGAAATTGGGAATTTAGGAGTTAAACCAATTAATACTCCTATTGATCCAAACCACAGGATTAATGCTTTGGCTGGTAAGTTGGTTAAGGATGTGGCGAGATACTAGAGGATGGTAGATCGGCTACTATATCTATGCAAGACACACCCAAACATTTCCTATGCTATGAGTGTTGTGAGCCAATATATGTATGCTTCTCAAGTTCAACACTAGGAAGCCATTTATAGGATACTTGCATACCTGAAGAAACATCCAAGCAAAGGAATTTTATTCTCAGATCATGGGAATTTGAAGCTAGAATCCTATACAACACAGTCTAAACATGACACTCACCCTCAATGGAAAGAGAGGGTAGATATCCCATTTTAGAGGTATTGTAAAGGCTTCACACCCTAAGATTAGCAGTCCTGAAAGTATAATCACAGATCTCCACTTGAGGCACTACATCTCAGACCATAAAGGCTATGCCACCCACCATAGAACAAATAATATAGTCAGGAGTTGCATATACTGCTCATACATCATAGACTACAGCCCATATCTAAACAACAATTATGACTCAGATAGCAAGGAAAGAACTTAACCAATCAGCCGACCAATGCAGGTTCACATATGCACAACTTCCATTTTCATGTCAAGAAAGATCTGAATACTGTCCTTTAGTTTTAATTTCTCAATCATACTGTCCTTTAGTTTTAATTTCTCAATCAATCTCAGTAATAATATTCTCCACAGAAGTGTGCTTATGAGCAAAACAGCACTTGTTTCATTCCTTCCAAATATGATAAAAAGGGCTATAAAAAATTAGACATGGAAGTAAGGAGGATAAACAGCAGCACTTTAAATTTCTTTGCTTCTAATCAACCGCACCCATCCAACATTCACCATAGCTAGTGTTCTGCCCACACTTTGATGCCAAAGTTGACCAAATCCTTGTTGAAAAACTGCATTCAAACAAGAGATGACGAAGACTTTCATTGGACTGATAACAGAAAAAATAAGAAGATGGCTGCAAAATTTGATGTCTAGGAAGCCAGTCTTGTGTTGGCAAGCATTTTTTTTATGAATAGTGTGTTGGAAAGCATGGGATACACATCCTCCATGTGATGAAACTGTTCCTAGAAACTTACTTAAACAACAGAACATCCCTCCAGAAGACCAGTGGACTCTGTCTTCTAATAATTTGACATGCATTCTTTTCTCTTTGTTGAAAATGCTTTCTACTTTAATTTACTTAAATATTTTATGTAATTAATATTTAACAAATCATTTTCCAAATAGGATTATCACAGGGTGTCGTCCCTGACAAATGCATTGTGAGATAGAGCAAAATCCTCCTGGAAACCCACTCATCAAAAGTGAAAACAAAGCCATGGAAAAATAAGCACCCATATCCAATTCCTCCACCTCAGCATATATCAAATTTGTTTAAGGCAATAAATAATCCACAAATCACCGCTTAACACAGCTAGCTTTCTAGAAATGATGCATTTATTGACTTCCAACATTCTATCTGAAATCTGACAACGATAATGAATGAAGGCTCCAATTCCATAAATAATGGTTCTTCTCATGAAGCCCAACCTCAAGGAAATTTCCCTAAATCGAGATAGAAAAAGAGTAAAGAACTCAAAAATGCTCTATGTCCTCCAGAATACCGTAAAAATCTAGATTTCATGACATTAAACTCGTAAATGCCCATCCAGATGATGCTCTTGAAGGTCTAGAAACTAAAACCCCGTATGAAGCATACCCAATAACCCAGACCCACAGAAAAGGCAGACACAACCTAAATTTACTTTCTTAATACTATGTAATTAATGTTCAAATCTACATGGAATTCACTGTTAAATCAAGGATACAGTGTATCCAGACAAGATTTCGAAGAATTATCTTCAGTACAAACACATGATGATCTGTAAAAACTATAAAAATCAGAAAAAAAAAATATCACAATCGTTTTATAAGTCAATCTAAACAACTCCTGCTACTAATTACTATTCAATTAAGACTAYCCCAAGCAACAAGAATTGCAAACAAGAAAAGAGGATCAGGTAACCTTTTGATGGACTTGACGAATTCTGTGGCCGAGGGTTGTCGCATCCGCTCGAGAAAATCATGCCAAGTTAGTGGCGCCGTTGACGAGCCGAATACATCTGCGTTTTCCATCCACTACCGAAGAATGTATTTAGCTCTTCTATTAAATAATGCGAAACCGAGTTTGTTATAAGGAGCAATTCAGATCGCCCAACTGTTCGACGCCATGACTGAGAGAGTAATTAGCTTTACAGAAAAAAAAAAAAACAGAGAATAAAAAAGAAGATTGAGGAGAGACCCAAGTGGAATACAAGGTCTTGACTTTGAACTTTTGAAGCCTCCAAACAACCGGAGATGGATCGCTATGTGCAACGTGAATGCTCCTGAACGGTTGGTCAGTCAGCCGTCGATAGACCAGTCTATCATCATAATATAGAGTACGTATTTTTTGTAGAAGAAATAATCATGCCGACTGCAAAGAAATAACGCCGTGTGCAACTCCTTCAAATCACGCGCTACAGACAAGGAGGTATCGATCATGACATGGCCAAATTTGTTTCCTTGTATTATTGATCATGGATCGAACTGGGCCATGGCATGGGGCGGGATTCCAAGCCTACGACTTTAGGGCCCGTTTGGCTTGTAGAGTGTATTGGAATTGGAATCGGAATCAATTATTTCTAACACCTGTTTTGTTCGGCCATTAATCTGAATCAAATTCCCATTATTGTTATTTGATTCTTTTGGAGTTGAAATCAAAATCAACTGAAGGCTCAGTTTGGAAGGAGTACAAATGCAAATATGTAAATTGCAAAATCATGTATTTTCTTTTATTTTGCATTTATTTGTACTATATATATTTGTATTTGTACTCCTTTCAAACTGAGCCAAAAAGGTTTCAATTTTGTATCAGTTTATTTATTATTTTATTATTACTATTAATATTTTATGAATATATAATTATTATTTTATTAGTTCATTGTTATTATTATTTTATTAGTATTTAATAATTAATATCTATGCATTTATCATTAATTTATGAATTTTTAATATATTAGTATTTCATTATTATTAAAAATATTTCCATTATTATATTTTATTAATAATTTATTATTTTATTATTTTCTTATATTGTTTTTGTTTATTACTTTAATGTTCATTTATTCTTAGTTATTAGTTAATACATTAGTATTTTATTATTGCTTTAATGATATTATATTCATATTTTTTATTATAGTTAACTATTATTATTTAATAAATGAAATCTTTAATTACTCTTTGTTATTATTATTTGGGAAAATTTTTTATCAGTACCTTGCACTTTAGGGGTTGTCTCAAGTCAGTTGAACTTCAAATAATGTGCCTTTGTAGTACCTAAACTTCCAAAAACTGTCAATTTAGTCCCTACCATTAGCAGTGTCAATTACTTCTGAAAATGTAAAAATTACCTTTCTAAAKAAGACATTGTTCATTATCTTCTACATTAAGCCTAAAGACAGAAATCATAAATTCATTTCAAAAAACAAGGAATCATCATAGCTTTTGGTGTCTTGGACATCAATAAAAAACCAAATGGTTGGCTTTGTTTTTCGATAAAATCTTCCAACTTCCATTGTTGCACGCCACCCTTGCATGGAAGACAAGCAATATCCAAGTTTGCTATTCTCACCGTCTTCAGAAATTTTTTTAGTTTTGGGACAAGTGAAATATATCCTCATTCCTTCATAAATCTAAGAAAAAAGTATTAACTATCAGACTAATAGAATGATGCAACTTAAAAGAAAAAGCAACCAATGCTAAAAGAACAACATGATTACCCTCTACAAAGTTATCTTCTATTACTAGTGGATTAATTCAAGAATATTCAACTGTGCATCTTATCAAATTAATTAAAACCAGTGTTATCCTATCAAATTCCACTAATATGGAAACCATCAAACTATAGATTCTCAGTAGGAATGACCAAAGACTAGAAACTGCTTCAAAGAGCCTTGCAGAACCCAAAAATGAAACCCAAATTCAATCCTTGAAAGTAAACCCAGATAGGAAATTTCAATGTAGAGGGAGAAAGGGTCTTGCAGAACCAATCTAAGTTCTAAATGTCTCCCAAAACTAAATTTCCAATCATCAGATCGACTAAAATACTGGAAACCTGAAAAATAATCTTAGGCTTAGGGTTTCAAACTTGCAGGTTTAGTTTGTTTTCCACATCCTTCCTAGCCATGGTGTTTTGTGCTTTGTTCATTGTTTCAGTGGAGACTATAGATGGACGGGGAGACAAGAACTTCTACTTCCTCCTCCTTGGTAAAAAAGGTAGAAGATAGTGAACAATGTCTATTTTGGTTCAGTTCAAGGTAGAAGACAATGAACAATGTCTTCTTTGAAGGGTAGTTTTGACATTTTCAAAAGTGTTAAGTCACACATGCCAATACATGATATAGATAATTGACGAGTTGCTAACAATAGGGACTAAATTGACAATTCTTGAAAGTTCAGATACTATAGTGGCATGTTTTGAAGTTTGGGGACTGACTTGAGGCAAACCATAAAGTACAAGGTACTGATTATGAATTTTCCCCTATTGTTTTATTAGTATTTAATAATTAATATCTTAGTATTTTTCAATAATTATGAATATTTTATTAATATATTTTCATTTTCTTATTAGTTTATTAATATTCCATTATTTTTGTTTATTAAGTTAAAATTATTTTATTATAATTTAAAAACTAATATGTTCGTATTTTATTCTTACTTTAATTGTGTTACATTAATATTTTATTTGTACTATTATTTTACTAATATTTTATTATTATTTTAATTATTAATATATTCTTATATTATTATTGTTGTATTATTAGTTTCATAATATTTTTATTATTTAATTATTAACATTTTATTACTATATCATGAATTGTTTATTGATATTGTATTATTATTATTATTATTATTATTATTATTATTATTATTATTATTATTATTAACTCATATCATCATTTTAAGAATCCTACCAAAAAGTATTCATCATTCAAGAAGGAACATTTGTTTGAATTTCTAGATCAAATCTTACACTATTGTCTTGTTTGATTCAGTATTATCATTTACCAGCACCATAAATTCTTAAATTTGTCTCAATGTAGAAGTAGGGGTGTATTAGTTATCAATATTTTTGGTAAATCATTAACTATCAAGTTACCCCTTATAAAAATACATACCCTTGATGTTGTAAAGCTAATGGTAGAAGTAGAAGATAAACTAAATGAAATAATGGTTCATGTGGATTAGATTAGAAATCCATCTGCAACATGGTAAATGGAGTGACCATTCCTGGAAATTAAGCTAAAGCATATGGTGTTTCCTTGACAACAATGAATCCCAGTTTTTTAATTAACAAGAGACACTGATTGGTTTAAAATTCCTGTTATGCTCTGGCACTTAGAATATAGAGGGGATCTCCTGTTTGCCAAAAAGAAGGAGAGGACTTTGTTTGCATCTCAAATAAGAGAAATAAGATGTAGGATAGCCCTCATTTGTAGTTATATAAAAAAAGAAGGGCAAATTTCTTAAACTACCATTATGGTTTAGTTAATTGACTAACTCTACCCTTACTATTTACATATTGTCTTAAACTACCCCGGAATTTTCTGACAATTGATGCCATTGTTAAGGAAAAAATTGAAATGTCAAAATTGCCCTCCACTATTCATCAAATTTTCAAAATAAAACCCAATTGATGAAAAAAATCAGAATACTAACTTCTAAGTCCACTTTGTCTCCATCTTTGTCTCTATACGAAAGCATGGATTCTGGAACGGGCGGGGGTCTTAGAGGAGACGATTTGTCGTTGAGCTTCTACCCACGATCTTGTCAAAAATGAGCAACGCACCAATCAATAATTGGGGAGGTTATCTTCCTTGCCCTCCATAAATTCCTTAAAGATTCTTGAGTTTCTCTTTCTTCCTATAAAACCCTAGATCTACTCCCGCCCTTTTTTCTTCTCCATTTTTTTTAATGTTAAACCCTTTCTTCTCCAAGAGATGCAACTCTTCCTCATTGTGTCCCAATCCATTATGAAATAGAAAATGGTGATGTAAGCATTAGGACCCAACAAAGCTRAAATGACGATCTCTTTCTCCCCAATCATATCTCCTCCTCTAAACCATGTATTGGAACTGAGGTGTGTCCTAGTCCAATACAAAATACGAAATGGCAATCTGGTGGGTCGTGACTCTACCACAGGACATGTGCAACTTGACATGGAATAAGAATAAGGGATTGTAGCCGATAAGGGAAACTTTTGGGCCCTAATATCAATAAAAATAATCTTTTTAACATAATTATTAAAATAGGCTATTTTTTTTAAATATCAAATAGGGGCAGAAACGCTTTTCATCTCCTTCCTCATTCAAATGTATTGGAACTAAGGTGTGTCCTAGTCCAATACAAAATACAAAATGACAATCCGGTGGGTTGTGACTCTACCACAGGACATGCGCAACTTGACATGGAATAAGAATAAAGGATTGTAGCCGATAAGGGCAACTTTTGAGCCCTAATATCTATAAAAATAATCTTTTTAACATAATTATTAAAATAGGCTATTTTTTTAAATATCAAATAGGGGCAGAAACGCTTTTCATCTCCTTCCTCATTCAAACCACAGAACAAATCTCCCCCAAGATTAATAAATATTGATCACAGATCTCTACTTTTGTGTTCACCCTTGTAGTTGTTGGTTTGCTGGGAGCAAAAATGGCGAAGYCCACTCTTGTGTTTTTGCATTTTGTTATGTGTATCTCGCTTCTCCACTTAGCATACTCATAGACCTCTTGTAATAGGCTTAGTAGTTGGAACCAAACTGTCGATTTGTGTACCTAGTATGGTGTTTTGTGTATTCTTTTAACTACTTCAGAAGAATACTCATAGCATGCAGTTCCACTCTAAGTTTGGAACAACTCAGATGCAAAGAAGAAGAAGAAGGATCGGAGGTGGGGAGATTTATTTGGTGGTCTAGAGGAAGAAGGAGATGAATTGTGTTTCTGCCCCTATTTGTGATATTCTAAAGAAAAAGTTAGCCTATTCTAGAAATTATGTTAAAAATATTACTTTTATTGATATTAGGGCCCAAAAGTTGCCCTTATCAACTAGAATCCCTAAGAATAATAATAAGAAGAAGGCACATGTCTCATTACCAATCAAACAAATTAGATTTTTAGAGAAAAAAAAGAACAAATTTCTCATTGAAAAAAGCTTACCTTGCCCAAAATGAGAGAACTCACAGAGGAGAGTGACCTTGTGTCAGAGCTAATGGAAGGACCGGAGATGGCATTGCATGCGACTATACATCCCGCTTCTCCAATTTATGAAGTAAGAACAGGGTGGATGGTGTGTTTTCAGCAAACCATTTTTGGTAAGACAAGGGAAACCATTCCAATGATACAAGCACCT